ACTGGTGTCGAACAAGGTGCAGATACAGAACAATATTCCAAAGATGGTCGATAGATGCTTCATACCCTATGAAAAGACCCTGTTTCTGTGAAATTTTAGCAAACAAGAAAAAAATAATAGATACTTGCCTATTGCAACTTGTTGTTGATAACACCAAGAAGAGAGGCGTTAATGGAAATCTAAGGAGAGAAGAGAGAGTCTTTGATGGAAAAGCAATATGGACAACATTTTTCCTTCATTGGATCGATCCCAATTTGGCTTTAAGCATTTTTCTTTGGATTGAGATTTGAACTCAACATTGAAGATGAATTGTTCTTTCTATAAAAACTACTTTTATTAGCAGCCACGGGAAAAACAACATTATTATAGGAGAATATTGGTTTCATGGAGATAATGGACGAAAGTTGGCCAGTTGCTCGAAAATACCTTGTTTCGTTACCCAATATTGATGTATGAAACCACCTAAAAGAACACATAGATTTCAACTCTATTTACAAATCTCAATAGAACCAGCTCCACTTACCCACAGCTATCATAGCCAATCTACCATTTCTAAGTTCCGACCATTCATACTTACGAAAAGTATCCGGATCCTTGGCCAAGCCCAATGGATCAAAATGAAATACGCCAGGTTCTCTCTTTCCTTCCATCATTTGAGAAACTGCAAACAAACTAATAACTTCGAAAAATATCACAAATAATAGAATTTGTGACATGCCACCGGTTTTGACATAGACATCTAAATATAAATATTACAACAAACTACGAATAGAAGAAAATGATTGCTTGCCATGTGCCAAAACAGGGGGAACTTTGGAGAAATATGGATAAGGAAATGTCCACAACTCTTGTACAATAAATCCAAGAGCTGCTAACATGGCGATACGGCAATGTTTCAACTCTGCCTCACGCATCCTATTCAACTTTTCAATACATCAAGTTGCTCAAAGACTGTTAAAATGGAATATCTATTGTACCATTTGACATCAAATACATTTGTGAAACCAAAAGGATCAAAGCCAACTTATGAAAAGCAAAGGAGAAATTTAACACAATTGAACAAGTCAACTTATCTTACCGTCACCCGCCATAGTACCTGATCTTCGTTAGTATATTATGATATTCAAGCTCATGAGATAGATCTACTCACCGTCTAAATTCTGTGGCCATAACATAAAAGGTAGAGCTTTGGACCATTTTGGTTTATTGGAAACAGTCTTTTTCTGTTCTACTGGCTCCTTCGCGACTCCCTTATCAACAGGAGGTTTCTGAGTTACAGCCTTTCCTGAATCCGAAGTTGTGGTTTTAGCGGATTCTGCTTTGACTTCTTGAGCTTTAGAAATCTCTTGTCGACTCTCTTTATGCGAAGATTCGCTTTTTGAGGGTTGTTTGTCCGATGCACTGGATTTTCGACTGGCTGATTCGCTTCCGTTTGAGGCAGTCATACTCCACGAAACTTTAGATATACATGGGTTCGTGTAGTTACGATGTTGACGGTTTAAAAGAGAAGTTCCTGAACTCAAGCTACCTTTAATGAAAGTTATGCTAAGAAATGCCATATTTGAAAAATAAAAAGTGGTCAGGTTATAGGTTTGCCAATCTTCTAAGATTCAATGGAGATTGTACTCAATTGGGAGATGAATGGTGAGCACACGCAATGCCAATTCCTCAGTAAAATTTCAGTAGAACTTGGACAGTCTTTTAAAGAATCATGCACAAACACGATAACTAATCACCTGGGAATTCTAGTTGAAATGATTGTGCATTGGTTGTTTCGAAAAGTCAACCGAAACTTGGTAAAGGCACTTGATAAGAATTGCCTCACTTGTGAGAAATAAAGTGAACGAAGAAAAGAGATTTCCAGTTACCAAAGTTTACTTTTCGTTATACTTTTTTAGTTCATATTCAAGTTTTCTTTTTCTTTGGAAGACTTTCGGAATTTGCGTTGTTCTCCATATGTGGTTAAAATATCATTTACATCCTGTCGGATAGAAGCTATTTTACTTTCCAGCAAGTTGATTGTTTGTGAATAACTTTGGTGACCATTATGTTGACTGGGCTCCCAAATGTGTGCACCTTGAAGCATTTCCAAAAGTTCCTTCACTGGTTGCTGTATCTCTTCCATTTGTTTGAAGCTTTGTTTTAAGATATTTTGCTCATAAAGCTTGGCATCGTCAAGTTCTTGTTTGCATTCTTTAATAAATTGAAAGATGTTCTCCATTGTCGACATGGACTGTCCTGTTATTTTAGAGATACGATACATAGTATTCTGATATAGTCTTTCCATCATATGTGCCAGTTGAACACCGTTTGAAGAGTTTAGATGACATTTCAAGTCTTCCGTTACTACTATTTCTTTCTCAAGCAACCGACACATTAATTCAAACTGATTTCGGATTTCTTCCAAAAGGTAGTTTCGAGTTGAAGTCATTCGAAGCATCAGTTGTAAGGACTGGATTTGAATTTTCTTATGGAATAAATGCTTTTCATAAAAATGGTTCAGACTCATCATCTTTTTAAAAGACTCTTCCAATGAGCTTTGAATCTTCCGACGAACTTGCAAACGAATGTTCCTTGTAGCTAATTGGATCACTTTTCCTTCCAAATCTTTTATTCGATTCTTTTCAACTCGATGTAATCGTTTGGAAGACTGGTTGTTGCCGTTGATAGTATTGTCGCTATGTGCATTTCGTCTCACTAGAAACGTTTGAGTTGCATGAACTTTATGTAAAGTTGTCAATGTACGAATCATCTGCAATTGCATGTCTTGTATATTGTCTTCTAAAAGCTTTGCTTGGGTGTAAAACTGTTGCAATGACTGCTCTATTGACCATTCATTGCCATCGTCTCCTTTTAAATTATTCTCAAGACCTATTTGCCTCTTGTACATATCTACCAAATGAAGAATAAAATACTCGAAAGAAGAACAGGTTCTACATAATGTGCAAAGAAAATGATCAAGTCTCAATATATTTCTTTCAAGATTGAGGTTTTCGTGGATGTTTGAAACAGATAAAGTCTGCTTGGACTTGTACTTGGTATCCGATAACAAGTTTTCCAACTGCTCTTTCTTCTTGTCTAGTTCTTGGACGCGGTCCTTGAAGAGTTGCAATAACATTTGTTTCTTTCCAAGTCCGTCTATCCTATTATTTGTCTCCGTCAAGGTGTCTTCCTTTCCACTGGAAAGATTGAAAGCTTCACTTTTGAAGTTGTCATCTTTTTCTTCAACAATATTTCTAGATATAAGGGGTACAATCTGGTTATTCTTGATCCCTTGTATCAGGTGTCTTAGCATATCGGCTATTTCATCATCCAAGAATAGCCATTCTAAACGTTCTGACAGTTCTTGTTCCGACACGAGATATTCAAGTTCTTCTTCATTCTCTACAGATTGTAATATTTGTTTCACTGGGATGGACAAGTCTTCTAGTGCGCTTAAGAGTTGCCAAGCCTCTTCGGAATGGCGCCTCGATGGGCCCAATGGCATTTTTTTTTGAAAATAATGGATGATAAAGACTGACTACAAGTAAGTACTATTATTTAAGTTCCATAGATTTGGAAAAAAGAAGCACTATATTCAAGAAAGAGGTTATATCCTTGAGAAAATTTCCTAAATTTCCACTATCAAGACTTGATACTTAAATCTCTCATGGACTCTTTCAAAAGATGTGAGGTTTCCCATGGGTGTAATTGGGTCTCAAATAATCTCTCTGAAGAGATACTGGGATTGCTATTTCTAAACCATGATTTGTCTATCCCATGACTGTTTAACTTTTGTTCCAAGTCTTCATGCTTTTCGTATTCCTGGTAAAAGTTGCGATTCCTTGATAAAGGTAACCACAACGAGTTGCTGGTTGAGAACAAAATAGCAATAACTTTGTTCTTTATTGAATAGTTACGTTCTAGCCGTAGCTTTGTTCCCAGAAACCTATGTTCACTTAGAGCTTCTGCGAGTCTACCACAAAAGTCAAAAGCAATACCGTTTCTAGATCGTCCTCCTGCTTTGGATGGTTCTATGGTTGGTGACGTTGGGTAAGAGCAAGAAAAACTATGGGAATGGAGAGGAGTGCATTTCTACTGAAACTAACCAATTGTAGATTTGATCCGTTGAATATCTCTTCTTATCTGGACTTGCGTTGGTTACGAGAATCAGAAATCAAACACTGTCGTATTGCTAGTATGTTTTTTGTTGCTTCATTGCATCTTGCATAGAATCAATCTTCTAATTGGTTGTTCATAGTGTTGGCAGTAGTGGGTTGGTTCGTACAAGAAGTATATCATTTACCCAATGAAATATACAGCTCTTCAGTCCCTACAGAGGCTTTTTGGAAAACCCTTGTTACTGGACCTATGGGGCAGATTGTTCTTTGGACGTCCCTGTTTGAAATGATAAGTACTCCTGCTGTGATACAAATGCTACAAGGCAGTGGCAGAGAACCTGGTTATTTTGGCTTTGATCCACTTGGACTGGGAAAAAATCCAGAACTTTACAAGCGCTTTCAATTGTCAGAGCTGAAAAACGGGAGGCTAGCTATGATAGCTATTGGAGGATTGATTCATCAGGTAATGTATTAGTTTCACTTTGAATCAATTTTGCAAAGTCTTGATTTTTTTCTAGTCTTTCTTGACTCATATGGGTGCTATTCAACAGTTACAACAACACAAGTTCTTTCCATAAAACTTCAAGAGGGATTTGTTTGACATGTTGAAAATAAAATCAATTCATTTGAAGTCACGTTTGCTTTTTTTCTTCCAAAATTGGCGCAATTGGATGATTCCAGAGTATATTATGAACACTCAGAAAATGTCGTCTCTTATTCTCGTTAAACTGTTCTAGTCAAATGCAAAGACTCTTTGAACGAGTTGAATCAATTCCTTTAAATCCGTACATAAGTTTGAGACGTTATTTGTACAGTGTACAACAAGCTTATGTTCATGCCAAACAGTATCAACGTGAAGGCAACTTGGAACGAGAAGCACTCCTGTTACTTCGAATTGCAACGCTAGTTCAGAAGACTATATCGAAGCATCCAGATTATGTAAAGGTACAAAATGCCAATATTGTCAAGGTAATTACCAAGCAACAAAGCTTTTTTGTGACTCAGTTAAAGGTGATGTTTCTCGCAGGAATTCCGTTTGTATGCACAACTTGCTATCAAACGTTTAGAAGAGATAAAACCCTTGATTGATGCGAAAGAAAATACTAGTGAAACCTTGACGATAGCAAATGCCGTGCAAGAAGAAAGTTCTCAAGCAGTGCTGCAAAATAATGTTCACTTGGAGAACGACTTGTTGAGTTCTGCTCCTGCTATGAAAACAAGGACTATGCAAGTTCACGAGGAAATGCTTTTTGTTTTTGAGTCTATTGCACAGAAGAACACAAAGAATAATAAAGAAACCTGCGGTGTCCTCGCTGGTGTACTTCAAAATCACTTACTTGTAGTAACCAGTCTCATTGTTCCTAAACAAACAGGAATGAGTGATTCATGTGAAATGTTGAATGAGGAAGAGCTTTTTGCGTTACAGGTGAGAAAAGAAGAAATTTATTTGAATGTTTGGAATGGACTGAATATCTTTGATTTTATGAATAGGATAAGAAGAATTTGATGACTTTAGGATGGATACATACTCATCCTCAGCATCCATGTTTTTTGAGTTCAGTGGATGTTCATACTCATGCAAGTTTTCAAGTATGCTGACTCTTTTTTAGACATTGCCTATTTGTTTGAAACTGAAAGATGTCTAACTAGTGGATATTACCTGAAGCCATAGCTATTGTTATAGCACCTACTGATAGGCAACGTATTGGAATATTTAGCCTGACACATCCGGGAGGTCTCGAATATACCTTGCAATGCCAACAAAGGTTGTTTTGTTTACTTTCCGTGTTGATTGTTTATCAAACTTGTTTTTGTAGAGGACATCATCCTCATCCTGAACATGTTCCGAAAGGTTTCATTGGCGAAGGAAAACTTTTTTATGAGAACTGCAATCATGTTGAACTCGTAAGAGATCATTCCATACGTTATGAGGTAGGCTGTCTTCTTTTGATAATATGCAATATAAAGCCGAAGCATCGAATTACCAATACCGTTCCTTGTTTTGCAACAAGGCTCGGCAATGTCATCGATGCAACATCAAACACATGTCCAATAACATCGTTCTGTTCACATTCAGAGAACATATTATCATGCTTATTGGACAAACATTTTGAAATGTGACTTGCTTATATTCTCTGATTAGGTTTATGATTTGCGTTGATTTTCAGATAATGTCGATAGTATGGGATTATTTTTGGTTAGTATTCATGAGTCTCTTAGATTATCTTTGGATAGTCATTGAGAGAGGATGTTTGAGTAAGATGTGGATGATAGTGGACGATGTACAGTCAATGAAATGTGGCAAAGAACATTTTTGGGGATCTTATCCATTTAGAAAGAGAAAGAAAGAATGAACTGAATTTCTCATCTTTCAAGAGGCTATATTAGGTTCTTTTTTCAAATAAGAAAATGGTAGATTTTGACTTTTCCATATGGCATAATCTTATTCCATTGTGATTTGGCCTTTTGTAAGTTATAAGTGATATGTGGACCAGTTCTCGTATGCTTTCTCGTTGGATAAGAAATATCGTACACCTTCATAACGTACGAATTATGCGTTGGAATTTACCTCGACTGTTTTGTGTTGGTGTACCTGGTTATTCGTCATACAACAACGTTGTATTATCTTCCAAGGTACACGCACAGTTGTCTTCTCCAGTTGCCAAGTGGAGTCCCTTTATTTCAACAACTAGTATGTGGTACAAACCAAGAAGGGTTCATAATAAAGTTGATACATCTACAAATGAGCCTGTAACAACGAGTATTGGTGTAACTGAACAGACTCAGCAAACAAAGTCAAGTCCTACCGAGTCCCGTCAAGTATTGTTGTCAAACCCCGCTTTAGTTGTCTGCAGAGAGTTGGAATGGGGAAATATATTTTTTGGGTTCGAACAAGCCAATAAGTATTCTTTAAAGACACCTGACGGTCAAGTTGCTGGTTACATTGCAGAGGAAGATGGACTTGGTCGATCTTTGCTTCGAAATATTCTTCGAACGCATCGTTCTTTTAAAGCCACGATATTGGATCCAACTGGTCAACCCGTTATGGTAATCAGAAGACCAGCTTATCTTTTGACCAGTTCTCTTTATGTGGAAACTCCCGAAGGAGAGTCCATCGGTGAGATACGAATGAACTGGCATCCTTGGAGAAGAAAGTATGATTTATACGTAAATAAGAGACAGTTTGGAAAGATTGATTCAGGCTTTCTAGCAGTGGAGTTTCCAATACAAGATGAACATGGAAATGTGATTGGCAGTGTAAGCAAAGATTTCACAGGCTTTGCAAAAGAGTTGTTTACCGATGCTACACAATACGTTGTTCGTCTAAGACCACCTAGTGAACTTGTTTTAGACAACAACGGCATTATTCAAATGAATAGCAGCGTCACCAATCCTGCTGAAACCAACACATCTGAAACGAGTCTTAGTACTGAGGAAAGAGCAGTTTTATTTGCAGTTGCAGTATCTGTCGATTTTGATTATTTTTCCTTGCATAGTCGTCATGGAAGTTTTATGCCATTCCCATTTATGATGCCATTTCCATGGCCAGGAAGTGGAGGAGGAGGAGGAGGAGAACAAGGAGAACAAGAAAGTGCAAATAGTCAAGATAATCCAACCTCCAAGGATACTTCATCTACTGGAACGACAGAGCCTGATGGAGATTCTTCCAATGGATTTGGAGAAGATTCGAAATGGGCTCACTTTGAAGAAGGAAAATTTGAAGAACCTGACAATATGTTTGAAGAAGATAATAGTAGTGGTTGGAGTTTTGGTTCCTTTTTCGGAGATGATGACGATGATGATGATTAGATAGGATATTCTGATGCATGTAAGAAGATTCATGATGTATTTTATATCAATTGACTAGCAGCCACTAAAAAAATTGAGTATTTAGTTGTTTGAAATTTGTTCCGTTAATACGTCCATCATATTATACAATTTTTGAGATGCTTTTTGTTGTATTTTATTCCATAAAAATACAACTGCATCAACTGTTCCTTGTGCATAAATATTTCTTCCCAAAACGTTGTGTTGAAATGCTATTTGCACTGACTTGTCCGGACTCGTCAATCGATAAGTATGAAAGGCATGACCATTTATATACTCTGGCGGTATGCTCAATTCTTGTTGTTGCTCTACTGGATTTCGAATCATTCGCAAGTCTTTATCATATTCAAAATGTGCACCCATTTTCACAAAGGATTGGATCATTTCTTTGGCAGTTCCCGAAGTATCTGCTTTAGTTTGTTGATGAGATTCGGTTACTTGTAAACGATAGTTTTGGAAAACACCGGGAAAGCTTTGAGCCATCTTATTCAGCATAGTTTGTAAAGCAACTATTTGTTTTCCCATATTTGGTGCTATTACAGCATATACATTGGATTGCACCGTAGACTGAATAAGTTGCTCACGATCACCACCAGTCGTACCCATAACAAACGGAATGCCATATTTTTGATAAAACAAAGCATTGGAGTTGACAGCGTCTGGATGGGTATAATCCACAGCAATCAAACGAGGATAGTCTTGTAGTATCTTTTCTATTTCGCTTGCTCTTTGTGAAGGCCTATACAATGACTGTTTCATCACTAGAAAACTATATCGTTAAAGAATAACTTACCTTAGCAGTGTGATGGGTTGATTAGATACTTTTGAGTGATAGGAAAACTCTTTTTGATTCTCCGCTGTAAGTGAATATGGAACAACACTATTAAAAAGTAAATATAACAATAGAAAAAATAGTCGACAAAAACTTACGGCAACTCTCTTTGCAATACCACGTTTAAGACTTCACTACTCATATTGCCAGGTAGACCGTTGACCATCACCTGTGGAAGACAACATACGATTAAAACTGGTCTACGAGAGGTCCTGTAAAATATTGAATACTTTCTTTTACAATCTTTTGGTTTATAGCAAAAACAACGGGAGTATTTATCCGAGGTATTCTTATCATACAAACCATCAGAACATACAAAATTCATGGCTTCTCGACTAGCAATTTTCAAAAAAAAGATTTATGAGCAATTCAGTTCAATGAGAAGACCAATCAACCTATTTTTTTTTGGAAAAGACATGCGAGAAGATGCTGTGCACTTAAAAAGCAGTTGCTGAAGATCCTTTACCCGAGAAAGATGAATCCCACAAGGCATCCGTATCTTGACGACTGGAAAGTAAATCTTTTGTATCTGTCTGGATTGTTCCTTGCTCAGTTGGATCACTTTCCAAGGACTTAACTTGCCCATTACTTTTACGAAACTCATTTCTTCTTCTTCTTCTATGCGACTCTTTTTTGACATTTGGTTCATTGTTTGTATTTTCTTGTTGATTATCATTTCCTATATCCCATGACTCTAATACATCGCTATCTGATTGGCTGCCTAGACCTGCGTGAGATGCTATTTTATATTGATGATGACTTTTACTTACTTGAATATCCAGGCAATGATGCAAATCCATAATCTGTTTCGTTACTAGGTAATGAAGAGGTAGAATTGGCTAAAGCATCTTGATGAATATGGTTTTGCACCTTGTCATTGGGACGAATGACTCTTCTTTTGTCAGAGTTTCTGGGACCCACTCTCTTTTGAACTGTGCCTTGATATATCGAATTATCTGATTGCCAAGTATCAACTTCCTTCCAATCACTATTTTCGTTATCTCCAAAACCTACATCAGATATTTTCATAGGTACTGTTGTGCTATCCAATAGGAAACCATATCGAGTTGCTATGGTTTGACCTGTAGTCGAGGATGGAGACTGTTCATAAAGTTCCCTTATAATAATTTTTACTTCTTCTGCTACAGCTGAATTGGGAACATTCATAAGGTTTTGTAGACAACCTGGTGCAGCAGTTCTTCCATAGAAGAATCCAGTGGTTAAACCTAATAGAGTGGCTGGTATTGCGGGACGAAGCCTCAAAGAGCTCGAAGCGTTGAAATGCTTTTGAAATTGTTTCAGCCCATAATAAATTAACGAAAAAGACCTAGTCAAGTTGAAAAATAGTTTCAGCCTTTGAAACAAAACTCAAAACCAAACTCACGTCAAAGCTGAAAATATACCTCTTCGAACAATACTATTATCACACTGTACCAAAGCTTTTCTTTCTTCAGGTGTTACTTGATACTGATTATCCAATACTCTTCTAAATAATTCTTGGAATACCGTTCGTTCCAACTCATACATGACAATTCTTACTACAGAATGTTTTTTTTATAATCAAAGAAGGAATCGAAATTTTTCACAAGAAATCAACTCTCTTTTCTCTATAAAGAGCAGTTTTGAGCACAACCAGCAAAGCACTTTTCCAAACAAACATTATTAATCAAGGCTGCAACATCTTGAATAGTACAATTGCTGCTGTTTGTGTTGTTGGTTGCTGGTTCAATACTAGGTTGGGGTGTCTTGGATGGCTTTGGTTTATCCATGGCTATGCAGTGTGTGGCATTGTTTCTTCCAGAAGGGCACGCATGTACGCAGTTTGCGTTACCATCATACAATTGATCGCTTATAAAGGTTCCTTTTGGACAGGAATCAAGACATTCTCTACCGTATATGACAGAGTTGGAAGGACAGGCGTCTAGACAAAGTTTTCCTGATCGATAAGTGTAATCGGGACAAGAAGAGCGACATATAGATTGATAGACATAAGGCCAATAAGAAGGGCACTGATCGACACAAGTTTGTATGAAGGGTTGACCACTAATAACAATGTATGGTCTTTTAGAAGAACATTTGGATGCACACTTTCCATCGTCGATTAATGGAGCTTCTGAAAAGTCGCAACTTGTTCTACATGCTCGATTATAAAGAACTGTATTATTGGGACAGCGATCGACACAGTCAAAACCGGAAAGTGCTAGTCTCTCCGGACATCTGCAGCGTTTTCAATTGGAAATGAAATGATGACTGCAAACAAGTATACTTACTCGGATACACAAGTTTGATTGTTCAAATTGTACGGTGCCTCCTGGTTTCATTTGATAAAGATTTGAACATAAGTACATATATGGAGGAAAGTGTCATTACTTACTGCTGGACAGAATTCCACACAGGTATTGTTATGTTGTTTTTTGCCTGTTGGACATTGGTCGACACATGTTTCACCATCGAGAAGTGGTTTCGATGGAGGACAGGTTTCGACACAGACTGGTGATTGATAGTTTAATGTTACGCGGAACTTCCCATGGCAATGATAGCGACAAACTTGGCCATCATATACCATATCTTGTGGACACTGTAAGGATAGATGAGATTTTTCAAAAGGTTGTCATCTTTCATGTTAAACTTACGCTACTTGTGCAGAAAGTACTGTTGAGGAGAAATTTGTTAGCTGGACAGCTATCTAAACAATTTTCTCCATCTTGTACTCGGTAACTTGGACATTGATGTCTACAGATGCGGCCATCACGCAAAGGTTTATCTTTAGGACAGCCGTAATGACATTCCTTGTTTTCCAAATCGAGCCCTAAGCATTCGTTTGATTTCTTAGTTTGTTTCATGTGTTGTCAAGACCATTTGCTTACATTGATACGAATTGCATTGTGCCACACAAAGTCTTCCATTCTTAAATGGCTTCCAAGATGGACAAGTCGAACGACAAATTTTGTAATCTTGGACGATGTCAACATATGGCTGTGATGTTGGGCAACTGGTAACACAGTTGCGATCCGCAGTAATATAGGAATCTGGTGGACCTATACAACGAAAGAATATATATTTGAAATTGAATAAGGAAGAGACTTTTTCTCACAAGCTTTAACGCATGTTTTTGCAGAAATAAACATGTCCTGGGAGCACTCATTTGTGCACTGAAGACTCTCTGTATCTAGAAAATAGTCAGAGGGACATTGTGGATTGGTTTCGTTGGGTAGGAGATTGCGTTTGGTTTCCAGGATATTTGTAGGAGGAGAAGAAGTAACTTTGTTGTCAGGTTGAATTTCTCCTGAGAGCTCTGCTGCAAGAAGGAATTCAACGAGCAATAAAATAGTGATTGTTGCCAGTGCGCCTGAATATTTGTTCATGTTGCTGTTCCCTTGCAAATAATACAAGTGTATTTTTTTATAGTATTGGGTTAAATGAGAAATAACTTGTTTCATTTCTGGTAACATTTCACTTCATATAAAGAATAATTTGGCGCGCAGATCCCCAGCATTTTTCTTTTTGACAGCTCGTTATCGAATGAAGACACGTCTCCGTTCTGTTATCAGGTAAAAATGTTTCAGGAACATTTTCCAAAAGTCCATTGTTGTCAAGAGATTGCAAACGACGACTATGTAGCTTTATCATTCAATTCAATTGAGGTTTTTTTGTTTTAAACTTGGTGAAAGAGACCTGTTTTGATGAAAGAAGGTCAGAATTCGTTGCTTACAATGAGAGAGAAACTTTTTATCAAAGTAGGCTCAAGGGCCTCTAATTTAATGTATGACTAGTGACGATGGTATATACGTCAACACAGAAGACACAATAGAATCTACTCTGCCCAGTGAAAGGAGTAAAATTATTATCTGGTCCCTAAATATAGTTCCTTTGTCTGGAAAACAGCTAAGACAAAGTTGCTCTAAGGCTCATGATACAAAAAGTTACCCTTGTTCTTGACAGATGGCTGACAAAGCGCAAAAGAAAATCCTCGTTCTTCGTCAAGAATCAGAAGCGTTTGTCCTACTTGTCACTGTATGCAGTCCAAAGTAGGAGGAGGGCATAATATCCAAGCTCAATCCCTGCTAGAGGGGATGAAATTCGGCGGCGGTGTTGAGGTACAGAGATGAGACTGAGATTTAAAGCCGTTCGCGTGTTGGGACTCGTGATTCTTTGTTTCCAGCGACTCTGTCTGTCGGACATGAAGGGGTGCCTTGATCTAATTGGTCAATCCAATTTTTGGTTCACTGGGTTTTTTACGGCAAATTGGTAGAATGCATAGAGAGCAGCTACTTTAAATACGCATCGATTTTCTCGTTGGGTACTTGTGTTAGATCTAGATGGAAGTTGTTGAGAGCACAGCAGCTATTTCTTCAGAAGTAGACGAACAAAAAAAGGAACCTCTATTCCGAGGAAGCCTAGACGGGCATGACCTTTCAGATGAAGTCCTTAATGATGAAATTGGGGAGACTAGAATTGCAGTTGAAAGAAACGAAAGTTTCTTTTTTCAATTCTATTACGTTAGGCAATCCTAAAGTATTTACTTGGGTACTGGTTGCGTTTGCCTCCATGGGTGGCTTACTATCTGGTTTGGATCAGAGCTTGATTAGTGGAGCGAATTTATATATGCTAGCGGATTTACACTTGGATAGTGGCCAAGTTTCGTTGGTAGACTCTTTAATGCCTTTGGGTGCAGTTTTGGGAGCATTAATGTAAGTTAACATAACTTGGGAGTCTAGTATATTTGGTTTTAACTAGTATTATTTAGCTTATCACCTACCAACGAAGCATTGGGTAGAAAGTTGTCTATTATCGTTGCGTGTTTACTCTACACATTAGGTGCTGGTTTAGAAGCTGGAGCTCATTCAGTTGGTATGATGTACGCTGGACGTTTTATTTTGGGGATGGGTTTAGGCTTGGAAGGAGGAACTGTGCCTGTTTATGTTGCAGAATGTGTGGCAAAGAAGTTCCGGGGCAATCTTGTCTCTTTGTACCAATTCAATATTGCTCTCGGTGAAGTCTTTGGTTATGTTGTTGCTGCAATATTTGTCAACGTTTCAGGAACTTGGCGTTGGATGTTGGGATCATCTCTTCTCTTTTCCACTGTTCTTCTTGTAGGAATGATTTTCATGCCTGAAAGTCCTCGTTATCTGATGCATAAAGGTCGTGAAGTTGAATCTTATAGCGTCTGGAAGCGTATTCGTGGTGTATCCGATATAGATGCAAGACGCGAGTTTATTGTGATGAGACATTTAGTTGAACAGGAACAAGAGGAGAAGAAACGTCGATC